ATAATTTTTTAATATATATATTTTTTTACATTATTTTTAATGCTCTAAACAATGTAAAGACATTGAAAAAACTAACTTTTTCCTAAAACTTTTTTCTCGGGTCTTAAGAAGTTAAGTGCCAGAGATAGAGATTACACAGCACAACACTTCTCATTATGTTTCCAGCAATAAATAAATAAATAAACATTCCTACTTTCAACTTTGGCCCAGGGTCTGTCTGGAAAAGATGGAATGTAATGGAAAAGAAAGTCATTTTCCTAATCTTATTTGAGTGTTTTTCATTAAAAATTTTATTTTAATCATTAAAATAAAAATGTAAAATAAAAATGTAAAAAGAGGCAAAATTGTATAAGATAATAAGACTTGTTTTCAGGTAATATCTTAAATTAAACATATTTTTACCTACCCACTGGCAGATAATATGTTCCTGTTTTAAGCATAAACCTCAATAGTTTAGTTTGGTATATTTATGGTTAAAAACTCAATATTCCAGTAATAAATGTAATTCAAAATATATTCAAAATATATTCTTTCAAAAAGCCTTAATATCTGAGCAAAAAACAATTTACGCAATATTGCCTCTTTTTGCTTAGACATTTTTTTTCAGTTAAATAACTTATAGTACGGCTGTTTTAAGAAGTTTTCACAGTACACTGCAATCATCCAATCAGAGTGAAAAAACACTCCTAACATCATAATAGTGTGACATCTCACTGAATGCTCAGCCAGGACACAACATTCAGTTTGGCAGTGATTTTAAGACACGTCTGACTGCTTATCCCTAATTAACATCTTCATCTAATTCTGCTACGCCTTATTTTCCATTCTGATATTAAGGACACACACTATAAACAGTATACAGCATAAGAATAACCAATGGATCTCTGAATGTTCCGGTACATTTAAACCTTATGAATTCAAACCTTAACTAAAACCCAAAGGATTCACGAAATAGAAATATGCATGTATCTATCGAGATGAGACGGCATGATAGCATAGCCGGTGACTCAGACTCTCAGCTCATAAATCAGAGTGGATGAGTATCAAGTGGAACTCTGCAGATCGCTCATGATTAGCATACAAACACTGTACACACCAGGCTCTCCATGCTGACCCAGTGGCCCTGAAAGCACCTAAAAATGACTCAGAAACAAAAGAAGAAAGACCAACAGGAAGAACCCATTACATAAGGCATATGAAGTGATTCTGAGAAGAAAAGAATATTTATTGCTACACAGCTTAGGACCAATAGTTATTTTTTTTAAAAAACTGAAAGCTTAAAGGGATAGTTCACCCAAAACTTAAAAGTGTGTCATGATTTACTCTCACGCCGTTCCAAGTCTTCCATTCAATAAAAGTCTAAATTGTTTGGATCCTAACGTTCTTCAAAATATCTTCTTTTGTGGAGGAAAGAAACGCAGTGCAGGGTTGGAACAAGGTTATTATAATTAAATAAAACAAACTAAAATGAAAAAAACAACAACAAAAAAAAACATTTTTATTACTTGAAATAAAATTATAAAAAAAAAACCATCTAATCTAATTTTCTTTTAGTTAATCTTGATGCACTAAAATAACAAACTAAAAATGAAACATAAATTAATAAAAATGACAAAAACAACTAAATGATTACAATTTTAATTCAAATGAAAATAGAAAAATAAAATCTAAATGAAAACATTAACAAACTATAATAGCATCTCGATACTAAAATATCACTGGTTCGGAATGAATGACATATGGTGAGTAAATTATTACATAATTCACATTTTTGGGTAAACCATCCCTTTAAAAATAACCCATTGAGGGGTTCAAAACTGCAATCTTTTAGTTACCAGCTCAGATCTTATCCAAAGAATATGTTTCGTTTCACACTTTGAGGGATTATTCAGAGAAAACTACTACAAATGCATGATGTGGCCAAGCTGAGAAGAATTTAAAAGTAGAACAGGTTGAGAGCAGGAATAGTGCGTCGGAGTGGGCCGGGGTAATATTAATCCTATGTGTAATCTCAGAACATGATCCACCTACAGATTTCACTTCTGAACAGCTCAGTGGTCATGACCCAGTGTCTGAAGGAGAGGAGATTACCAGAGACCGCCTTCACAGGGTGCAACAGTCCCCCGGACAAAGCCAAATCCAGGGGGTGAAAGGGAGGTTCAATAGTAAGTGAGCACAAAGCGTGCACATTATTCTAAACTGTGTTGAGAAAGACTAGCTTTTGACATAAAAGCCATTTCTTTGACAGGCAACTAATCGCAATATGACAATGATTTAAATCATTGTCATATTGCGATTAGTTGACTGTCAATATGACAATGATTTAAATTTGGCTTTGGCTGACAATTATTCTACAGCACAACACCTCTTTCTTTGCTCAAAAACACTATAATTTACAAGCTATAATAACAGTAACAACTGCCACAGGGCAATGACTAATTCCTTTGCAAATGAGCAGTTTCTTCCTTCAGGGCAGTCTGAATACTGTCTGATTACTCCAATGCAGCTGCTTTAATTTTAATTGAAGGCATTTTAGAGGCTCTTTTGTTTGTGTTGATAGAGATGGACCCTAGAGCAGTGATTCTCTTTTTGACTCCAAGATTTGAAGGCCAACAGAATATCTGCAATATTTCCGACAAAGCTGCTAATTTAAAAAAAAAAAGTATTTACAGAAACCTGGAGTGAATATACTACAATAATAAAAAATAAGTATAATGTCATTTGAGATATATACAAATGTTAAAACTCCAGATCATGAGAACCACGGTACTTAAAAAAAATAAAAATAAATAAGAAATATGACTTCAGCTAAAAACTTGATTTTTAGCTGTTTCAAGCTTATTTCAACCTAGTTTTGTATAATTTTAAATAATTTTTAATTAAAAAAAATCATCTTTAAGCCCCCTTAAACAGCAAATGTGCTGATGCCCCCTAGTGGGTCCTGGTCCCCAATTGAGAACTACTGCCCTACAGCTAATCTAAAACTTTCACTAATTAATTGGTCATGATTAATGAAAAAAGATTAATACGCTCAGCATACAGTTTGTAAATTCCTCATGCATTAACATTAATATTGCTAATATTGCATGACTCAAAACTTTGTATGAGAGTGTCTTATCATGCCGTTAACATGTTGTGTCTGTTTAGGATTCTGTCTACTGTTGTTCTGTTACATCGGTCATTTCTACTCAGCATGCAAAGCCGTTCGCACTGATATACATGCCCTGCATACTGAACAGCTCAGGCTTATGACACACACACACATAAATGCACCGAGGTAAAGGAATGCCATCCCATTCATTACTTCAATCCGTGCCTGAATGCTTTACGTCTACAGCTGGATTTCGACAAGGTCATTTCAATGGCAGCTGCAAAGTTTTTCTGCTCGAATGCAACAATCGAATCCATTCTGCCTGTGATCAGTAAGGATGCAATGACTCACAGCATCCCTGAGGCACCTGGGCCAGACGTTAGGGTGAGAAGGTGAACCTCTTGCCATGTTATAAATTATGACAGATGCGATACACATGAGCTAAACAGACACTAGTTATGTAATAACAAGTCTGTAGTCAAGACTAGCAGTCAATATGAGCTTTTCATAAATAATAATGAAATCAAGCCGGTATTATGTTGTCTTAGAATAACGTGACTGCCAGTTTTCCAATCATTATATAATTCACTGTGACACAGGAACACCAGGGCCAGCAGGAGTCAGTCACTGATGATTGACAGATCGAGTCAGTCTTGTGCATACTTGCCTGTTGCAAGTGTATCAGGAGTAAAGGATGGTGTCAATGCCTTGATCTAGACAAGATGATGACTCGTTAGGCTGCCTTGCTGGAAAATCCATCTTAGGCTGGTAGCCTTTAGCTGGTCAAACATGGTCTAAGCAGATTGTTATCACTGGTGAGACTATCTTAGACCAGCAAACCAGCTTAAGGTGGTCAAGATGGCTTTAAGAATAAGAATGGATTTTACAACAGCATTCTCACAAATGTGAAATTTCCGTTTATGAAATAAACAGTTTATTGAGAGACCTCTGTGTTTTTCTACTCTCAAGAGTAATTAACAAAATAAATTAATAAGTGCATATATTAAGTAAGTTGTGGGATCCTTTACTTAAAGGTAAAGGTAGGTGAAATTCTTAATTTTTCCCCCAAACCTGTATGATATCTACTTTCCTTTGCTGAATATAAAAACAGAAATTCTAAAGAATGTTTTTGGTGATTGAACATGTAAAGCATGCAAAAGCACCGTAATAGTACAACAACCATAGTATTGTGTGAGGAACAGATCAAAATGTAATTTGTTATTCACTAATAATAATGTTCACTTCCATTGAGCTGATCATTGAATCACCGATATGAACTTGAGGGCCCTATCAGTAATAAAAATGATTCACTGAAAGTTTCAACACACATGACATTCCGAGTTCTGTCATGTTGCTTACTCTGATCAAATATTTTCATTAAATGAAGATTCGCTTTCGTTCTACTCCTCACATTCTTTATCGTATGGCTCGCCTCTCACAGACTTTTATGATACTTTTAACATGATATTTTTATGGCTTGACATTTTCATTCACCAGTTATTTGCATATAAAACACACAGGTTGTCCGCAAAATATATACAGGTCTGGAACAACATGAGAGAAAGTAAATGATGACATAAATGTCATTTTGAGGAAAATCGTCATTTTAATGTGAATACAAATGTACAAAATTTTCGCATTCAGTAGATAAATGAAATAGTAACGTTAACAAATACTCGTATTCGGGACGTCGGTCTTCTAAATGACCGGTTTGCTCCGACAAATATCACGGCTGACCTTTCTTTTCTCGCATGAATGATAGTTAAGATCCCCACGCGCCGTTTTGTAACTTCAGCGGCAGTGCGCGCAGAGCTCTGAAGCCACACGTACGAATGCAGAAGGGAGCTGAGCTGAAGGGCTTCATGCGGTGCAGAACCCAAAACGAGTTCAGATAAAAGCAGACACTCACCTAACTTTGGCTGCCACCGAAGAAATCGCATCATTTTTCAGATTCTTCCTTTTGGACACTGCAGTTCCCATGCTGACATGGAAACAACGCTTGCAAGAAAACAGCACATTCCAGATGTCAAAGCATTAGAGAAAACGCGTGGGGAAAAAAATGATGGAACACGTTGGTTTTAGGACACGGATCCCTCTGCGTTCACATGAAGGTCTGTTTATAGCATAACACAAAATTCTGGAGGAAATGCGGGACAGAAAATGCTGCCGTCTCCTCTTGCTAGTGTCAACTAGTTAAAGAAAACACACACGCACGAGCAGGTCCCTCCCCTCCTCGCTCTCTCTCTTCATTGAGATGACAAAGATACGATGGCTTGAAGAGTGTTTATGGTGGTGGGAGTGCGTGAGGGTTCAGACAGGAAACCCAGTGGGACCATATATGGAGCGACCACTCCTCCAATTCCACACACTCTTAATGTTTATTTATCTATCTATCTATCTTTCTATACTCTGATCCATCCATTTATCATCTATCCATCCACCCATCCATTCATCAACCCATACTTTCCATCCTGTCTACCCATCCATCCATACGGTGTATCCGTCCACCCATACTCTCCATCCTGTCTACCCATCCATCCATCCTCTCTATATCTATCCATTTGTCATCTATTTACCTGTAAAAATGTAATATAATCTAAAAGAATGCTTCAAGTGGTAATGTCTAAATTAACTGGTACAGCATCATTACAGGTACCTAATGACGTTTGTCATTAAAGGGGTCATATGATGCGATTTCAAGTTTTCCTTTCTCTTTGGAGTGTTACAAGCTCTTGGTGCATAAAGAAGATCTGTAAAGTGGCAAATACTAAAGTCTCAAATCCAAAGAGATATACTTTATAAAAGTTCAGAGTCAGCCACACCTACCTAAAACTGCTCGTTCTAACACGCCCCCACATATCTACCTAAAATAATGTTCTTTTTAGTAACATCATATGACCCCTTTAAGGATCACTGAATTATTTTGCTGTTACAATAAAATGTCAAAACCAATTTACTCCATATTAAAATACAAAAAAAAGAAAAATTTATAAAATACATCATAACTATGCACAAAGTACTTGTTAAAAACCATAATCATTTAAAAGTCTACACATATAGGGAATAGGTGATGTCCTGTATTTTTCTGTTCAACATCTGGAGATTGTCAGTTTATCTGAGTTCCTTGTCTGGCGTCCTGTCAACTCTTCCCTGAGTGGTGGTAGCCAGTCTCTAAAACTAGACTTGTATAGCTTCCTAGCAAAATCAAGACACAGTTGGACTCGTCTCTCCGCTAGTGTGCACAATCTAAGAAGGGAGAGGGCATCGGCATTCTGTTGGCTGAGGACAGCATGTGATCTACTTGACCATCCCATTTCAAATCGCTCTGGATTGTAACCCCTAAAACTTTAACAGAGTCACAGATTTTCAAAGTGTTCTGATCTATAGAAAGTGATGGCCAAGCTGGTATCTGTTTCATGCGGGTAACATGTAAGACCTTGCATTTTTTTGAGTTGAGTTTCATTTTATGTTCCTCCACCCAGATGCCACGATCATTCAACGTCTGCTCTGTTCAACATCTGGAGATTGTCAGTTTATCTGAGTTCCTTGTCTGGCGTCCTGTCAACTCTTCCCTGAGTGGTGGTAGCCAGTCTCTAAAACTAGACTTGTATAGCTTCCTAGCAAAATCAAGACACAGTTGGACTCGTCTCTCCGCTAGTGTGCACAATCTAAGAAGGGAGAGGGCATCGGCATTCTGTTGGCTGAGGACAGCATGTGATCTACTTGACCATCCCATTTCAAATCGCTCTGGATTGTAACCCCTAAAACTTTAACAGAGTCACAGATTTTCAAAGTGTTCTGATCTATAGAAAGTGATGGCCAAGCTGGTATCTGTTTCATGCGGGTAACATGTAAAACCTTGCATTTTTTGAGTTGAGTTTCATTTTATGTTTCTCTACCCAGATGCCAAGATCATTCAACGTCTGTCCAGAAGGCCATCTTCATAGAGAGGGCACTACGTCCAACTGACTGAAGGGGCTCAAATGGAACTCTCTGTAAGGCCTGAAGGACCACTTCGTAATCCCAAGAGGGGATGAGGCACAGCCTTGGAGGATTCAACCTCCAGGTGCCTCCTAGGAATCTGATAACCAGATCATGCTTCCCCACCGATCTGCAATCTACAGTGTCGTGATTTGCTGCAAAAGGGCCACGTACACCTTGAGTTTAGAAGCAGACAGGCACCTGTCCAAGCCCTCTTGGAGGAAGGATAGCACAGATCCAATGCCACATCTCAGAGGATCCTTCTCATGGGAAGAACACCAATTCACGAATATGCGCCATTTCAGGTCGAATAGCCACATAATGATATTCAATGATATCCCTAGCCTGCAAAATGATATTCACCACTGTGGTTGAAAAGACCTCTGAGTTCCTCCTGGTCACATCCAAGAACCAAACACCTCAGGGGAATCTGCCAGGGAGGAGCTGATGCTAACAGCACAAGCTCTGAGAACCAAGTCTACTTGGGACAATAATGTGGCACAAACAAGAGTTGTTCCATGTCCTCCCTGACTTTGCACAGTGTCCATGCAATGAAGCTCATTGGGGGAAACGCATATTCGCATAGGCCTGGGCCAGCTGTGTGCCAGTGTGTCCATTTCTATAGAGGGCCTCGATCAGGGAACCGACATGGAGCAATGAATGGATTCTCGTGAGGACAACAGATCTATCTGCGCCTGACCGAATCTACTCCAAAACAGCTGTACCGACTAGTGGTGAAGCCTCCACTCACCTTGGAGCGTGACCTGCCGTGAGAGGGAGATTGCTACACGATTGAGGTCACCCGGAATGCGAGTGGTACGCACCTGAGTCTCTGCTGGCTCCACAGTAAGAGATGGCGGGCGACGTGTGTGCCTCAGCGCCATGCCCATCTCAGGACTCAGGTATGAAGCCTGTGCTGAAGCAGTCTCATATGCATCAGTCCCCATGGCGTAAGCGTGGCTGAGGATGCCATATGCCCCAGGAGCCTCTGAAAGTATCTGAGAGGGACCTCTATCTTGTACTTGAGCGTTCTCAAGCAGTTCAGCACAGACCAAGCACAATCCTCTGAGAGGCGTGCTGTCATAGTGACCAAGTCCAATCTATACTGAAAAAAACTGTGGCTTGTCTGCTAGGTCACTCCACTCAAGCCTGATGCTCTCTGCTGCCTGGGTAAGCATGGCTGCCATCTGAGCGTCAAGTGCCGGAAGTGCCAACATAAGCTCCGAATGAGAGATCGAACCCACGCTGAGGCGGGCCCTCAAACTCACTCAGAAACTCTACTAGAGAACATGTGCGGTTGGAGGAATGAGAGGTCTGTGGGAATTCATCCGGCGGAATCATTCCCGCAACATCTCCTTGCTCTCCTTCAGTGCACATCATCGTGGCCTTGTACACTCTTAAAAATAAAGGTGCTTCACGATGCCATAGAAGAACCTTTTTGTCTAAATGGTTCCATAAAGAACCTTCAACATCTGAAGAACCTTTCTGTTTCACAAAAGGTTCTACGTGGCGAAAGAAGGTTCTTCAGATTACAAAAAGGTAAGAAAGAGATGGTTCTTTAAAGAACCTTTGACTGAATGGTTCTTTGTGGAACCAAAAATGGTTCTTCTATTGCATCGCTTGAAGAACCTTTTGAAGCACCTTTATTTTTAACCCGGAAGTAGAAGGGCCAGGACAGGAAGGAGCTGATGTGACTTGTGGTCTTTTTAAAAAATGCAAGCCACGAGCACAACGTGCCAATAGCCATGTCCTCACAAGAAGGACGTAAGCCATCCACAAAAGCTGCTTCAGCATGGGCGTGGCCCAAGCACTGAGCACAGCGATTGTGCCTGTCAGAGGGTGAGATGTACAAATCGCAACCAGAAGTACACGAATGGAAAAGCATGTTGTAAACACAAACAAATCCATTCGTGAAGCTCTTTTAGAGAAATTTCTCTTTTAAGAGGAAATTTGCTCTCAAAGATCGCCGTTAAGGCACCCTGGGGTACTTTCACTACACTTATCTATTTATGGGCAAAGGAGAAACCGCTGCTTGTGCCATAGATCCAACAATGAGGAGATTGAAAGGTAGATGCAGAAAATGCCACACTGGCCTATTTATACCTGGACATCCGGGGCGTGGCCAGCTATGCAAATTTTGCTCGCCAATTTCATTGGCCTTTTTCAATGATGTCAGAGGTGTCTGGCCTCCCAAGTGCAACCCCTAGTGTCGGAACTTCGACACAACGTCGAAGTGACCAACTGAAAGGGAAGAATATATATTACAGTGCTTCTGGGTTTTTTCTGTGGCCGACACCATTTTTTAAAGTAAATAATCCGTGGTAGCCCTGGGCTGTGAGTGTGCGTGGTGGGACTGCCGATGAAGGGAAGAAAAACAGAAATGAATGAATGACAAAATGCCTTTTCTTTAACACAGTACCGAGACATGCAGCACTATGTACAGCATGTGTTGGCGATAAAGCCAATATAATTTGTTAATTATCCCCACACAGACTGCAGTGGATGTTCACATCATGCACAGCTAAGCGTTACAGATTAATTATTCAAAAATATTTTATTAAAAACAATTCCCCACCTCTGCATAATAGACTTATTTTCCAACTGAATAAAACATCTTGTTTACTACTGGCAACATTGTCTGAAGCCTGAAGTTTTAGCAAGAAATGTCCTCTGAGAAGACAAATGTAAAATGAAAAAAACTCATCCCCTAATGCACAAACAAATGCACAAATTTGTGCTTTTGTGTCTTATCCTTTCAGGTGATGATGATGAAGAAGGAATGGTAAAGCAATATGTTCTTCTGGACATGATGCCCTCATCTGTGCTCTGGACAAAGTCTCCTCTCTCACACACACCTGGATCATTTTGAGGGGGGCACTGCTGTTCCCCATCACTCACTGTCTGTTCCAAAACAAATAACCTAACAAGGTCAGCCAAAACACTCGTACTCCATTACTCCGCTGGCTCCTTGTGTGCCAGAGCTCCTGCCACTGCTACATCACATTTGTGTATCGACAGCTGCTAATAATGGCATATGAAATCTCATAAACTCCCACTGACACCAGCAAGGAGAGCTATCCTTAAAAACTGTTGTGATAATTGCAACAGAGAGACCCTTATCTTCACCACTTTGCATAATTTGAAACTTAATTTGAATAATGCAGTAATTGGTAATCATGTAGGTAGAACAGGCAAATTATCTAATTTAA